CCGAAGTGAGAGCCGGTATCCTCCCAGCCTAGCCGCAGAATCAGTAACCAAGCATAGGATTAGCCAATGTTCTTTATGCCTGGACCAAAGGGTAAATAATAGGTATGCTCCTATTTGGCACAATATAATTTGAACTAATTCACTTTATCCATTTCACTATAATTTCTTGACAAGGAGAATGATGCTTTCTTATATATTGAATATCACAATTGTACCTTCATTAGCATATTTAGTTATTTTATAGATAAAATTACATATTTATCTCAATTGCCTATTAGTGACAGATAAGCAAATTGAATTTCGTTGTTGTAATTGAAGTATTGCTTTTTATAAAATTTAGTCCGTAGTTCTCACTTCTCCCTGTGGGATCGATATCTAGGACTCCATTAGAGTCATATATTACGTGAGCGATATGTATACTTACGTTAACAAATTTGACTTTAATATTATTGAATATTATATTTATACATCTTTATCAAATCAAACATATATATAAAGTCGCGGTCAAGTTTTTGGGCGCTGTTGCTGGAATTTAAATCTTTTAGTAGCACCACTAAATTCTTGTATTTGTCGATTTACAAAAAGTCGGTCAGAACACTGAGTTGATTTTACTTCCAATTATAAATAATCGGCATTGGACATTACTAGTTGGGGCAATAAAGGAGCGTAGATGGAGATTTTACGACTCCTTACCAAATAGAATGCATATGAATGTCACCGACGCCATTGTAAGTAATTGTATATACTACTGAGTGGTAGTGAAGTTACTTTTACGACTCATACTTAATTTCAAATAATTTTGTAGATTAAACATTTTTGGAATGATGCTGGCCAAACTTTCAAATTTGATATGAGAAAATGGCTGGTACATATGGCCAGGGGCATTCCAGTACAAAGCAACAGTTTTGACTGTGGAATATTTGTATGTAAATATATGGAAATAATAGTGCAAAAGAATAAAGCTGATTGGAAAGAATACTTGGAATGGCAGAAGTCTATGCCACTATTTAGAGCTAAAATGGGACATAAGATATACAAATTTGCTTTATCAAGAACATGATCATAGGTTTATGTCTATTACCATTTAACCCTTTAGTCACCCAAGAAATCATCATTTTTTGCTAAAGTTATTAAGGAATGACATAGTGTTATTAAGGAATGACATAGTTTAATGACATAGTTTTCTTTGTTTATAATGCACATCCAGCTTTCACCCAAGAAGCATGCTCATTAACTGTTTGCTCTTAAATACATGCACAGGGTAGTTCCTTTTAATTGTTCATTTCGAACTTTCTGCAGCTGCATTTTATATCCAAACTCGAACTGTTGAAGTGAACAACCCAAGTAGTGTTGAACAAGTGGTCATCCAAATTCTTAATGAAAAACTCATTCTCATTGTTTGTAGATGCATGTAATTGAAGACCACAGGACCCGTGTATAAATTCTTTCTCAAACATTGTGTACAGCTTCCTTGAATAAAATGCAGTTGCCTGCCTCAGTATTGGGCTGCTCTTCGCAACAGGAGTAATCATAGATTGATCACATTTGAAATCCTCGTCCTTTTCATTTTGCCTCCATGTTCTCATTACATTTTCGATGCCCAAGAAACAATTTGTAATAGAACTAGTTGGTTTTGAGACACCATGACATATGTTATTAGTTGACTTACTCCTCTGTGTCGATAAAATTCCCATTCCAAATACATCCTTATTAAAAGTTGTTGACCACTTATGTCTAATCTTGTACATATCATCTAACCAAATATTGTCTTGGAGATTACCAGTCTCAATCATCCTCATTAAATATCTCTTCAGCTCGCATTTGCTCAAGCATTTATAAAAAATATTATTGACAATCCTATTTCGCACGTCGCAATGAACCTTTGTAGGCAATTTCTTATTATATGTGCCACTGACATAATCTATGTCGTGTATTTGGCAAAATTTCTGCTATTGCTCTAGCCATAGCCTGATCCTGATTAGTGTAGATTGTTATTAGATGATTATCACCCATGATGCGGATGAAGGTTTTAAAAAGCCATTTGAACGAGTCTGTCGTCTCCTCCGACAAGAATCCGACTCCAAATAAAACATTATGCCAATTGTGGTTAACACCAACAATAGGAGCACAACATATGTTATATTTATTTAACATATAGCTCGTATCAAATATAATCACATCTCCAAAGCAGTCATAATGAAGCCTGGATGTCCCGTCGCTCCAACAAAAACTCATCAGCTTGCCGCTCACATGAGTTTCAAAATCCCATTCAAACATGCTATCCTCATCACGTCTCTCTGCAAACAACTGCAATAAAGCATTCGCATCACCATTTTCAATTCTACATCTCCTCTCCCTCTGAATGAAATTGAAAGCATCTGTCTTTATGCATTCCAGGTTCTCTACACCCCCAACTTCTTGGGCTAGGAAGTTAAAAGCGTCTTTTGGTCTAATCCCAGATTGTGTCATGGATCTAAGCACATTTGCATTTACTTCACTTATCTTTCTGCTGGAACGCAACAAGTGCTTGTCACCGGGGTTCGCTAGTGAGTTGTTATGCGATTCAATTAATTTTTTAACTGTCCAATTGTCTTCCTCAACAACTTTGTATCGAATCATTGCAGGACAACCTATTCTTGTTTCTGCTCTTCTATATTTAACAGTTTCTGTAATCTTCAACTCTTTCTTGAAACCTGTTTTTCCACATACGAAGTCCTTCGACTTGATATTTCTGGTGTTAGTCCAAAACGTAGCGTGATCCTTACGAACACTGAATCCGATATGATGAGTGTAAGCACAATATACTTCATAAGCTTCTTTCTCATTGTGGACCAACGTTTCGAGTAATATGTTTCCTCTTTGCTCGATACAACTAGCATTACTCTCACTAAACTGCAAGAAATATAATAAAATGGTAGACTCAATAGAAAGCTCAAAAAATATCCCTAAACTTCATAATGACATCTCAAAATAAAAAATCTTCAACTAACCTAAAATCATATACCTCTAAAAACTTGAGTTTAATGAAGGATATATTAATTACTCCAATGTTTAATTCACTGTTTTTATTACACATAATACCATGCAACTATGTAAACATGCCTCCATTTAAGAAAACCATAAACTAATAATAAGAAAACATACAAAAAACAGAAGAAACATAACACAACATGCATACAAAAAATAGATATATCGTAAATATAAGAAAATCATAACAGTAAAGAACATAAAAGAAAACCCTAAACTAATTATTATAACAACACATCTCCAAACATGCCTCCATTTTAAGTTCCACTTCTTCTGTCCTGTCCGGATAACGTCCATCTTCTCCTTCTGCGTCATGCACTGCGTCGAACATAAACTGGCACTCTCTGTAGTCGTACTCCATCTTCAAGGTCAAGAGGTCAAAAAGCTTGAAGTTGCCGGTGCAGGAGAAAATGGCCAGAGAACAATGAAACAGTAAACCTAACTGCTTAAATACCATGCTTCGCGCTCACCAATTTAAATCATGTACAGTGTAGTTACATTTACGGTACAAGGACGGTTGCAACTGAAGGAGCATAATCCTACGTTACATGGCAGTTACAACATGGGTACAATCTCTAATCTATGCGGTTACAATCGTTGTTCTACTATACGGGCTTCAAAGTCTATTATATGGAGGTTATAATCGAGTTACAGCGATATTAAAAAGTTACTTCTGCGGCGTTCATCATTATATGGAGGTATATAACGAGTTACAGTGATAGTACAAAGCTACTTCCGCAGTTTCAAGCAGGTTACACCCACGGAAGATATATCTGGGGTATATCACGGTTACAAGCGCATTACAAGGCCCTGTACCTCAGAAGGTATATCTTGGCTATACTCCAGTTACAAGAGCGTTACTTGGACCTGTACCGCGGAAGGTACATAGCTAGTATATCCTGGTTACAATTGGATTGCAGCAGGTCGACCACGGGAGATATACAAAGGGTATATCGGAGTTACATATCAAGGTACAAAAGAGTTATTCCATGGGTCGGGTAACGGGTCACACACGGATATATTTTGATTTATTATATTTATTTAATGCAATGGGCCCACCAAAGATTATGTGGCGTCTTCTGATTGGATATCGCACGCATCGCTGCGTGCTTCTTACGTAGGCAAATTTTTTCCCCGAGAAGGAGGAGTTCGGGCAGAAGATGTCAGGGAGAGAAGTCAACTCTCTGTCACGTGCAGGAGAGGGTGCAGCGAGGAGTTTGGGTAGGAGATGTCGGCCTGGGTCGCGAATGGGAGGAAGGGAGAAGCCATGGGTGCTTGAGCTAAATTAGGGATTTAGGATTTTGAAAAAAAAATGCTTCTCTTTTTTTATATATAATATTTAATGCTTTAAAATCCTTTAATTCCTGTGTTATTCATCTATGCATGTAACTATAGCAAAGTGCATGTTCTTTCTAGGTAAATCCGACATTATAAATGCACCGGCATAATCCATTTCGTCATCCGAAGTCATTTGGACAACCTCGTCGACGATCGGATCAAAAATACTTCAAATTTGGTTTTCGTCAAAATTTCAGTTCGCGATCGATCATTTCAAAAAATTATTTAAGCTTTCGACAAATAACGATGCAGACAATGTGAATTGTGGTATTTGAACGTGTCGACTGAACGAATTGCAAAGTTTATGGGCGCGAAGGTGAAAATTGTGCAAAAGACCATCCTAAGGCCTAAAGGTCCTATAGGGAATCCCTTTGAGTTCCCTCATGTTAGTTTCAACCTTTTCAGTGCTAGAGGTCAAGAACCACACGCGAAACTTCAAAAGAGTATAGAAGCGGTTTGAATTTTTAAAATGAGGTGGGTCCCATTTCTAAGGATCTAAGATAGTCGAAGGGATAATCATAATGCTAGACCCTAAATCCTAAGAAGAAACTAAACCTCACAAAAAATGAGGTCAACACAACATCGAAGCTTCCACCACAAAAGAAAGAAAATAAAAAATGAAGCTGAGAGGATTAGAGGCCATTGTAGCATAGGGGCTGTTATTCCCTTTGTACCTTCTTCTTCTTCTATTCCTATTTTTTTTCATATATTGTTTGTCTCAAATTTGGGGACAAAATCCCTCGATCTGTTAACTTTGTATGACTTATTTTTTATCCCTTTGGGGACAGTTAATGCAAAGGCTTTTAATTTCGATTACATTTTGTCTATTTTTTAAGATGACATTGCCGAAAACAACCAATCTAATTTCGATCCCGTAGACAATTATCAAATCGTACACTATCCCGATGGCTCCAATAATGATCATAAATACATTAATAATGAAAATTATTTCAATGATAGCAAAAATAAAGATGACATTGCCACATTAACATTGCAAGGAGTGTGTATTTCCATAGGATTGGAATTATCAGACGCATAGACAAAAGAGTCAGATAAAATGTCTGAAGAAGCTCCACCTTCAACACAAGAACAAGAAGAAGTAACTAAAGTTCATCTATGGAGGGGGAAGTTCTACCTTCAAGAATAGCCCATATAGAGAAAGAAACAAATGGTTATGCCAGAAGATGCAGTTCCACTAGTGCAAGAAATATTAGCTCAAGAAAATACTGATAAGTCTTATAACAAAGTGGACTACATGGTTCTGCCCATTTGGGAAAATTACCAAAAAAAATTAACCATCTATCATGCCCTCATTCTCTTTAAGGAAATGAGGGATTCATTAATAGAAGCCCTTTTGGATCCTAAAATCTTTCTAGCTCAGCTTGCTAGTACTTCCTTAAATGAGGCTTATTCGTTGGAATGATCGGCCAAGGTTACATTTTCTGATAATGACTTACTAGTGGGCACAACAGAATAAAATCTCTCATTACATGTCAAGATAAATGTTGACAACATCATACTCTCAAGGGTGCTTATTGACTCCAGCACTTTGATAAACATTATGAATGTAAGAACTCTTGCTTATTTGGACATCAATGCTCATAGGCTAACGAAAGACAAGAAGATTCTATGAGAATTCAACCAAAAAGGAGAAAGAGTCGTAGGGTAAATCACATTACTCCTAAAAATTGCTGATTTTGTGATAATGGCCAAACTCCATGTCATAGACTCCAAGACGTCATTTAATGCAAGATGTTTGATTTTGTGAATACAAGATGGATCCTTCTTTGCTACACCAATGTATCAAATATCCACACAAAGGACTAGAATATTGTATTAAAGGAGATTTGCAGCCATTCTCGGTACATGAGATCGGCATACATGAAGATACGACATTCTACACCCCTTTAAAGAAGACAACTTTCTCTAGAGATGTGATGATAAATGCAGAAGAAAAAGATAAAATTAAGAAAATGGATGAAAAAGATATTTTAGAAGAAAAGAAAATTGAGAAGTACCATGCTACGACTCAACCAAAGAGTGAAGACCCTTGCAAAATTCGTGCCCGAGGTCAAGGCTGGGGAGGAAGATGAGGGAATGAAAACCTAACTGTTGAAGTAAAGAAACTTTCAAAGATTAATATCTACTTGGACTCCAATTTTGAGGAAGAAAGAAAGAGAAAAACAATAATGGTGGTAGCTCAAAAGGATCCACAGTTCAAAAGATCTCTCGAAAATGAAGAAGAAAAGAAAGAATATGAGTCCATGTGTGAGAGAATCAATCATTATGTGCAAGCTATGACCCAAACTTCTATTTTCTCAAATAAAATTGAGAGTTTGGTGGTCAAAGAAGTACATGGTGAGGGTATAAAACCTATTAAGTTTCGACATGCTTCCTCTTCTTCTAGTTCTGAAATAGATGAAAATTTCTTAAAATTAATGGAACTTTTTATTGAACATTATTCCCCTTATGTTCAGAAGTTTGTTCAACATGGTTTAATACCAAAATAATGGTCAACCAACTGATCCCACCTCTTTGAAAAATTATGGAACAATCAACAATGAAACCCTAAAACAAAAGAAGGTGTTAGATTCGGTACACTAAAACCTCAGAATAACATATAATTTTGTTTTGTTGTCACCAAAGAACCTGATCTTAAATGTGCAGAAGCGCCCGATTCTAAAGAGTCTTCAATTGAAGATGTGCTATCGCAATTCAAAGAAGAAATCAAAATCAATTGTATATGAGCTAAAAAATCAACTTGGGAACAGAAGAAGAACCAAGGCCAACATTCAGCAGCTCCCTACTTAATGACATTGATGTAAAAGAAATACTCCAACTACTCAAAGAATATAAAGATTACTTTGTTTGGAGTTACAATGAAATTCATGGACTTGCTCCACATGTAGTAGTCTATAAACTAAAAAAAAACAAACTGTGATCCCAGTAAAACAAGCTCCAAAAAGAATGTGCATAAAAATTAAACAACAAATTGTGGCCGAGGTTAAAAAATTTATTGATGTCGGCTTTGTCCAAGAAGAAAAATATCTGACTTGGCTAACATAGTGCCGGTGAAAAAGAAAAATGGCCAAATTCAGATATGCGTTGACCTTAGAGATCTGAATAAAGCCTATCCAAAAGATGAATTTCCCTTTTCGATCCCAGAGTTGATGGTGGATATTGCGTCAGCACATGAAATATTCTCATTCATGGACAGATTGTCAGGGTACAATAAAAAATGTCTTTAGAAGATGAACCGAACACAGCCTTTCAAACACTCATCGGGATTTACTGTTATAAAGTAATGCCTTTTGTACTTAAGAATTTTGGTGTGACATATCAACAGACTATGACAAGAATCCTCAATGAACTCATCAACAACTAGGTCGAGTGTTATGTGAATTACTTAGTCATTAAATAAAAGGATGACCATGTGTACGATTTGAGAATCATCTTTGAACGATTATGAAAATCCAATCTGAAGATGAATCCTTAAAGAGTGTATTTGGTGTCACCTGAAGGAAATTCTTAGGATTTGTTGTTCGTCATTATGGGATCACCCTCTTAAGACTGAGGTGATCATAAATATGCCTCCTCCAAAGAATTTGACGCAACTACCATTTTTGTAAGGACAATTGGCATATATAAGATGTTTCATTTCTAACTTATCAGGTAGGTGTCAATCTCTCACCACCTTAACTATAAAAGATGCCAAATTTGTGTGGGATGATAAATACCAACATGCTTTTGAAAGCATCGAATAATATTTAATGGCATCTCTTGTTTTAGTAGCCTCTATCTTGGGAAGGCCTCTAATCTCTTACACTACAATTTTAAAAGACTCTCTCGGAGTTTTGCTAGCCCAAATCAATGACGAGGGTAAAGAAAGTGCATTGTACTGCCCAAATCATCGCCGCTCAAAAACTCAGGCATTACATGCTCTCTTATAAGGTGAATGTCATCTCAAGAATCAACCCTCTGCAATAGTTAGTGACTCGACCAACACTCTCTGGAAGATTGACAAGGTAGACAATGATATTGATCTAGTGTGACATAACTTGTGTACCTCTCCACACCGTTAAAGTTCAAATGCTGGCAAACTTCCAAACAGCACATTCA